ATTTTACACGTTCCCTCAACAAACTTTGTCAGGAAATGGAGATATGTTAAAGAAGTCAAGATCACATTTACACCGTTTTTTGCCTGAAAATCACATGTAACCAATCTTTCAAATTTAACATCACTGTCCCAAGTTTTTCATTCGTTAATTAAACAACTCGATACTTTGGACTGATCAGCACTTAAGTCGTAAAAAGTTTGATACAAAGCATGTTTAATTGCCTATTTAGATTTTTTATTGCTCGCATAATTACCAGTGTTAGATTGACTTGTCCGGTGTGAGACAGCAGTGTGAGATTTTTCTGCCTTACACTGTGTATTTTTACGCCGCGAACGATAAAGTAAACATTCCGTCTTAATATAAAGAAATTTTAATAATGTTAAAAAATATCACATCTAATTAAAATGTTGTCATTTAACTTATTAAAATGAACTTATTTTCATTCAAAAAATTGTCGTATTTTCACTTTTAAACGGCACTATATTTAGATCACGGAAGAATTCTTCTAGAATGAATGTTTAAGCTATCGGATAGATAAGTTTTTTATTTCCAGATTTTAATCCATCTAATTAATTTACATGGACTGAAATTCATTTTATTAGTTTACACTACGTGTAAACCATTTTCCGGTAAGCTTTCTCCGATGGTGTATTTAGATTTTTAATTAGACGGAAAATTAAAAGAATATATTTTTAGCCCTATGGCGACGTCATTGACAGGCCGTTATTTTGGAAAAAAAAATAATGTGAGAAAAATAATCATTCATTACATACTCGTGTGGGAATAGTGAAATTCCACCGAGGGGTCAAGATTCGCGGGCTAGGACTCGGCAAAGCCTCGTCCTAGACTGTGAATCTTGTCCCCTCGGTGGAATTTCACTATCCCACATTCGTAGTAATGAATGATTCAATAAATCCCAAATATGTGACTTTCTAGTGCAAAAAGGTCACAATAGTAACGCACATTAATTTGCAAGATTTGTTCAATGATAAATATCATTTAAACTGTTTTACTTAAAATAAGATTATTTTTTTGGCCATGGTTACATCTGATACATATAAAATATGAATAAGGTTAGAGAGTTAAAATTTCAGTGCAAAAAGGTCAAGTTACATGTAATTGTACCGTAGCTCAGTAGAATGCACACTGACCCCCTATTTTCTCTGCAAGTTTGAGAACTTATCTAAAATATACTACTCAGAAAATCCTTGAATTAAACAAAGAACTACAAACGATAGTATTGTTCTCCCGCCTACCTCTTAGTCAATTTTCAAAAGTTAATATATTTGAATGATTTTCCATATTTTTATTCATATTTACATGAATTTTAATAAAATTTTACTTATCTGGAAGAACAAAGAGAGATAACCCTAAAAATTTGGTAAAACTTGCGTTTTTTACTATAGAAATCAACGGAAAACGGAAAATAATTTTAAAACATCCCTCCCGTGAAACAAAAATTCCTTTATACAGTAATATAGACTGTCATTTCACAAATTGATACCAAAGCTTTTTGTGTTTCACGGGGGGAACATATGTTTACTGACAAAAATTGACAAAAGTTTTCATTTTTCACCAATTTCAAAAGGGTTAACAACTAAAACATAGTATTTTATAAATGATTTATGTTTAATTTCATATGCTTAAAACATAAGGAAAGAGGTAAGGAAAAATTATTCACATTCAAAATATTTCAAAATACAGTAATGGTGTAAAGCCCGGTTTCAACAGAAATTATCGTTTATCCCTTTTTTTAAAGAGCTAGAGTAAGGGATAATTAACTATTTTATACTGGTATTAAAATTATTTATCAGTTATAATTGAAGTGATCTTTCCATTCAACAAAGATTTTAGGGCCAAATTGTCATTAATTCGATTTAATGCGGTCAAATTCTATCTCTGAACTGGCCTCAATGTGCGTTCTTTTAAAGAGGAACATTTCTAAATATTAAAATTGACATTTTTAGAAAGTGAAAAGATATTTATATGCTTTATGTCATTTCAGTTTACTTTTTGATTTAAGAATTGCAGCCTAAACTAAACGTAAATGTAATATTCTTCCTTGAAAATTAATGTTTTATATTTCACCATTTGTTGATAACTATTCGCGCACTATATTAACATAAAAACAATTCTGCGAGTGACTCAACTTTCTTGCATTTTAACATTTTTATTCAATTTCCTAAAAATCATTATTATTTACCTTGTTCGTTTTGCAATTTCAAATTAGATTGTAACTAATGTTGAAGATATTTCGGAATCTATATAAGTATGATCGATCATGGCTTTGCTGTGCTTTGGACGATTATTTATACAAAAAATTATATTTTCACCCTCGTAAACGTGATGTTAAGATTTTTCTTGCATATTTACCATTTACAACAGAAAATATATTGTAGATGTAAATTGTAGATTTTACTGACAGACTACAGGCATATAGAAGAAAGAAATACTTTGTTCAAAATTCCGCATGAAGTAGATGTACGTCACAACCCCCAACCACTTTTCTGAAAACTTGAAAATAAAAATTTATTTTAATTGATGTTTATGTGAAATCTCATACGATGTTACGGATAATGTACTTCAGATTTTTAAGCTCATCTGATCAAAATGTGTACGTTGTCTGCCGTCGTTGTTGTTGTAAACTTTTCACATTTTCATTTTCTCCTCAAGAACCACTAGACCAATTTCAACCAAACTTGCTACAAAGTATCCTTAAGTGAAGGGAATTCAAGTTTGTTCAAATGAAGGGCCAAACCCTCTTCCATAGAGATAATTATGAGTTAGTGAAAAACATTAATGGCATTCTTTAAAAAATTCTTCTCCAGAACCACTAGGCCAGGAAAGATGAAATTCATGTTGAATCATCCTCATGTAGTGTACATTCAAGTTTGTTCAAATCATGACCCCTGGTGGTAGGATGGTGCCACAATGGCCGATCAAATTTTTACAAAGTAATATAGAGGAAAAATCTTCTTTTCAAGAACCATTGGAACAGGAAAGCTGAAACTCATGTTGAATCGTCCTCAGGTAGTGAACATCAAGTTTGGTCAAATCATGACCCCCGCGGATAGGGTGGGGACACAATGGGCGATCAAAGTTTTACAGTAATATATAGGAAAAATCTTTAAAAAATTCTTTTCAAGTACTGCAAAGCCATGATTAGTGATATTAATATGGAAGCATCCTCAGATAGTGTAGAGTTTAGTTTGTTCAAATCATAACCGCAGGGATATGATTGGGCCACAATGGGGGATCCAAGTTTTACTTTAAAATATATTTTAAAAAAATCATCTTCTAAAGAATAGAAAAGCCATGATTAGTGATATTTATATGGAAGCATTCTCAGGTACAACCTTCCGCCAGAGTTCGTTTTTACAAACCCGAATCTTTTTGTGCGGAGACGCAGAGGACTATGGGTAGTATGTCCTCAGGTAGTGTAGAATTAAATTTGTTCAAATCATAACCCCTAAAGGAAGGGAAGGGTCTCAAAGGTGGATCAAAGTTTTACATAGGAAAATAAAGGGAACAATCCCAAGAACAGAAAAGCAATGTTAAGTCATGTAATGCCCAAGTTTTATGTGGACAATTATGAATGCAAAATATACAGATAAAAAGCAAAGTATACAAATATAGGGTACACATGCCTAGTGTGAAGTTAGAGCAGCATATAATCTAAAATAGTTCATAAAGAAAGAATTTTTGCCACTTGGCTATAACAATGTCAGTTGGCTATAGGAATGCCACCTGACTACACAAAGACCACTTGGCAATCCTTCGATACAATTCAGCTGGTACAATAGCCACTTGGTTTCTAGCCACTTGTCTATACCCGTCAACTGGGTAACCAAAGGTTTTGCCAATCGACAAATTCAAGAATTTACACTTCTCAGTAACACATCACCTACTTACATTCCTCGCTGCCAGAATATACCATATCTTATATATTGGATATTAATATTACGCAATCACCTATTAGCCATTTGTCTTCTTATGTGATCGTTGTATTTTAGAATATTAGTGTCTTTCCAGGCAACAATATTTTATCTGATAATTACCAAGCATACTTTGATCGTCTTAACCAAACTGTTGTTTTTATTGTAATTTTTTATTTACATAACATCATTTGTTTTAAAACTATTCAATCAAATAACCAGTTTATTGCATTATTTACAATTAATTATTGATTTAAATAATATGCAAAGGCCAGTTAACTCTAAACCGTTTCCTGATATTGTAGAAGCTTCCATCAATATTGAAATCGATGATTGACGAAATTAATTTTCATTTTTCGCTTTTTAATCGATTATCACAACTTATTTCTTTTATATCATTTTAATAAAGTTTTGATTGAATAATTCAGTGATGACATTTTATGAAATAAACAATCGATTGTTCGTTGTCATTTTCATTAAAACTTGCCAGTAGCTTAGATCCGCTAACCGGAAACGTCACCATACTCAGGTTGATGCTATTTCATGGCTCTTTTTTGGAAAATTAAAGTAGACTTTTAATTTTACGTACGATACTTACTATCCGAATGAAATCTAGATATAGTTTACGGACATCATCTTGTATGTAGTGTATAATTAGAGGAGTAAGTAAAAGCGGAGTTTATTTGCAAATTTTATTATTCTATACGTATAGATATTCACATTTTAATTACGCAATCAAATACATGTATTTATATGTTTATATTTCGTTTATAACTCTTTATTTTTAGAAAATCGAAATAAGCTATGTATGTAAATCAAGATATGGAAAGCGAAATTTGCAGCCATAATGATTCTGTTTTTAGTATCCAGTCTTATTTGCACGGTGCTGCTGAAAAAACTCTCAAAAATGTCAGCCGATGAAAAGGAATACCATCTTTCAAAGAAGTTTGAGAACCATGCAAGGTATGATACACAAGTTGTTATTGGATTTTGATCCTTTCTTTTTTTTTGAGATATGGCTCTTTCACCTTAGCGCAATGATGATGTGAAGTACTTTTCCGAACTTCATCCACTGTCAAAAAGAATGGAATTAAATATGTTGGTATATGTACCTGTATTTTATACCAAATGTTTGACAATCATATGAATTAACTCAAATGAGAATTTTGCAACGATAACTAACAGATAGCTACATTTTTTGAATTATTTTCCCCCAGAAAAAATATAATTGTCTTTGTAGATGATCACGTCTGAATGAATCAATACTTATATTGGAAACATTAACTTTTGGAACGTCAAGTGCAAAATTTTGATAGCAGGCCAAAATTCGCATATGTTAAATATTTAAAAATAAACCATATTTATTTCCTTCATAGTAGATGTATATAAAAAATATAAATAAAATCAATCTATTTTGGCGCCTCCATGTATTATGTTTTACGCATCTATAAAATTAAATTGATTTTACCCGAATTTAAGATTTGTTGAGATTTATATGTGTGAGTGTTTGGTAATAGAACACCAAATATACTAGTAAGAGTGCGCAATGACCTCACAGAATGAATGGTAAGGTTCATGGTTTGCTCTGGGAAGCCAGAAATTAGGGAAAGATCAAAAAGTAAAATAAGAGTTCACAATGACACCAAATTATAACGAATTTGAGTGAGTATTATTAAATTTTATTCAGTTGTATATAATGAGTTTCGTATAAGATAAGGGTACCTTTTAATATTACAGAAAGAATCGCTTAGACAAGTTTTACTATAAAGAAAACCCTAAATATATATAAAAAAAAATAAATGTGACGCGCCAAGCAAAAACCTCCTTTAAGTGAAAATTTTGACAATTTCAGATTTTTATTGATTCTTATAGAACTTTTCCTTCTGATTCTAATGATATACAGCATTACATATATTTCACATTATTACGTGTTGAAATAACGCATTAAAATAAAAGAAATACATGCTTTGACGTCAACTGCGCAAATAAAGGCTACAGAATTGTTCCTACATGTATACTAGTATTAATGGGAGACATATTTCACTAACAATATATGTTCACTTCCTCATATTGGGCGGCTTTCCAAGGAAAAAGTCAAAATAATTCTATATAATTTACATGTACAGTGTATTCATCAAATTGAGTATGAAATTCTCCCTATGACCTATAACTCTGAACCTCTTATATTTATTTTACATGCTTAATTCATTATATACCAATTTGAATTCTACTAATGATGTAAATTAGATTTTGATAAATGTTTTGCTCATAATTGCTGAGGACCTTTTCAAATTTACTAACCCCCCCCCCCCTCTCGACATCACAATCACACAGCACATACTCTTTGGAATAGGCTAGATGGAACAGTTTTGTTAAAACATCGTTTGTTATGAATTAATTTAAAATTTGCTCTTGTACTATACATGTTAACATGTAAATTTCTACATCACATCACGTTGCGTCACCCATTATCATATTTTTAGATTAAACTCCATTCGGCACACCTCGGCCGATTCCCACTTCATCTGATAAGGTGACGGAATCGACGGCACGAAGGTTTGCCGAATGGAATAGCATTAGCAGTGTCATGCTGCAGTCTGGTGTGCATTGGGTTAATATTCATTTTGTGTTATAATTGGATTATATATTTCATGAAGTTGACAAGACCTATGGAGGTCGGTAAGTACAAGTTTAAGTATAGTGGGGGGTAAAATAAACCCAAACGATTAGGTTAAAGTTCAAAAAGGGTCAAAGATCATCGCATGCCACACTACACGAATTTCATATTGTGAAGTTATCTCCCGTTGTCGATGTGACATTCAGTTACTGCCAATACTGGTGCGGATCCAGAATTTTTTTTCGGGAGTAGGGAGGTGGGCTCACATCTCAGTCAAAAAATTCCAGCCCAGAATTTCCTGACAAGCAGGAGAAAAAAAAACTGAAAACAAATAAACAAAATAAAAACAATGATAGTGGGGTCAATGTTTTCTAAGTTAGGGGGAGGATGTCCAAAGTCATTTTTTATTTGCTTCAGTATATAGTCTTTTTTAACTAACAAAGCAAATTCCCGGGGGGGGGGTCCAATTTCCCTACCCACTCCCTGTCCCTGAAATAGTATATTTCTTTCCATTTGACTAATTATACATATTTTGTTTCTAGTGTTTATATTATGTCTGTCTATTTGTCTGCAGAAATTATAACCTTGCCCATAAGTTTTAAGTGGGATGGGCTATACAAATGGCTTCCACATTTTATAGGTTTATTTCTTGTGACAATTAAGACCTTTTATTTGGGTACCATTAATTTTTACCTCTGATCGCTTGACCTAGGATACACATTTTTACAAGAAAAATACCAAACCTTAAACTTGGCTTAAATTTTGATCAGTAGGTGCTAGGGCTTTCATGCTTAACATGTACTGTATTCATTGTGAACTTTCAACAGGTTTAAATATGTTTGACCTTGACCCTAGAGTTTGAACCACTTAAAAAAAAATAACCTTGGCAATTAACTTTTCAACAGGAAGTACTAGGGATTACTTATTTCACATGTGCATTCCTTGTGACAAGACTTTCTTCTGATATCAACAATTTGAACCCTTTGACCTTGACCTTTGAGTTTGACATATATTTGAGAAACTTCAACCTTCGCCATAGGCTTCCATACAGGGACATCAGTGTTTCACGAACACATCTTGTCTTCATTATTATTTGGTGCTGTCTCCATATGAGGGAAAAATTCCTGAGAGAGATATATTCACAACAAACAAACAAATTACAAAAGAAAATATAAAACATGAATATGTTGGTCATGAAAAAAAACAGCTTTTCAAATACTGCAACCATATTGTAACCCTTTCAAAACACTCATTTGAGCTTTTCTGGTTTCCTTATCATATAACGTCTGTCGTGACGTGTCGTCCATCTGTTTGTCTGAAAACATTTTATATTTTTAACTTCTCTAGAACCACTGGGCCAATTTTACCCAATTCATATAGAAATATGTACATTTGTATGTCAGGCTGTCCATCTGTCTCAATAAATTTAACCTTGGTCATCACGGTCATATCTACTGGATGTGAAGAGACAAGGCATTCATATTAAACTTATGTACTAGCATTTACCTGTGAGAATGGCATGGTTTTTTTTTTTTACATATGACCTAGAAGTTTGACCTACTTGCAAAAAAATTAAATTGTTATAAATTCATCATTTTGAAAGAGAATAGTTAGGGCATTCATATTATAATGCATGTATATTATTACCTGTGATAAGATCTTTCCAAATGAATCATGACTTTTACTCTGTGACCTTGACCTTGAAGTCTAACCTACTTTTCAAAACTGTTTCATTTGCTTATAACTTTTGATTGAGATGAGATATGACTCTCACGTTTGACATGTACATTAATTACTCATAAGAATTCAAGGTGTTTCCCAGCATGCAATGCTTTTTTACCCCTTGACGTTGATGTTTTACATAATTTTCAAAATATTTAACTCTCCTAAAAGATGATTAGGCTTCTGAGTAACATTAAGGAGGACATCAGGAAAGACAGGACTTTTTGCACAAAAAACGTCATTTTTCCACCCCCATTTGACCCCCGAGGAAAAAATCAAAATTACGAAACCTTACTGCACATCTACATAACACCACCAACCATCTCCCAAAAGATGACTAGGCTACTGTGTAAAATGTAGGAGAAGTTCAGGGAAGACGGGGCTTTTTGCATAAAAAACGTCATTTTTTGACCCCCATTTGACCCCCTGGGGCAAATTCAAAATTCCGAAACCTTACTGCACATCTACATGACACCACCACCCATCTCCCAAAAGGTGATTAGGCTGCTGTGTAAAATGTAGGAGGAGTTCAGGGAAGAAGGGGCTTTTTGCATAAAAAACATCATTTTTCAACCTCCATTTGACCCCCCGGGGCAAAATCAAAAATCCAAAACCTTACTCCACATCTACATGACCCCACCAACCATCTCCCAAAAGATGATTAGGCTGCTGAGTAAAATGTAAGAGAAGTTCAGGGAAGACGGGGCTTTTTGCATAAAAACGTCATTTTTCGACCCCCATTTGACCCCCCTGGGCAAAATCAAAATTCCGAAACTTTACTGCACATCTACATGACACCACCAACCATCTCCCAAAAGATGATTAAGCTACTGTGTAAAATGTAGGAGGAGTTCAGGGAAGAAAAGTGTGACAGACGGACGGACGGACGGACATGAGTAACAACAATATACCCGAACTTTCTTTAGAAAGTGCGGGTATAAATACCTTGCATGTCCTGGAATCTGCATCATGTATGTTATTTGTTTATGCAGACCAAGCAGAATTCTCCAGCAGAAGTATGCCATTAAATATCGATTTTTATTTTGACCTAATGGTACAATTAAAATCAATATTATTATTTAAGAAAAAATATGATCGGATACCGGTATGAACTGAAAGCTTAACACCAGAATTACCTGCACAATTGTCTGCATGAACAATGCACTCGTTTTCACCTAATCCAAAGTTGTGTAAGCAGTGATGTAGCATTGATATTACAGCATTTGGTCCATGTGTCTTCGATCCATTTTTCCCTGAAAGTGAAATTCAGATTCATTAATTTACATAAAAAAGTTGTTTAATTAAAAATAGTCTAATTTTTTTTATTGTGAGGTAAACGTCCATGTACATATTTTGGTATGCAAAAATAGTTGCATACCTATAGTTTCGTTTTCATCGACCAGGTAGTTATACTGCCTTGGAATTCCATCTACTCTCACTCCAAAAAGTTGAACTTTCCGAGGAACCAGGAAATAAAGTGGGCCCATTTGTCTGGAGTGATGAGGCAAAAACATTTGCTGAGAAAAATCAAAAGTAAAGTGAACTTTAGTATAAGGCTTAGAGCATGGATCTACAGGTCCATATCCTCTTGTGATGCCTTGAAGCTCTGTTACAGAATCTGTCACGGCTTGTTGGTAGGCTTGTTTTTCTCTTGTTGCCATTTGAAGATGATTTTGGAAATTAATCGTAACCTCTAGTTTTTCTGCATCACCAACAGCTTCTCTAAAAGCATTTCTATGCTTTTCACACAAATGACACACATCGGTCCGTGGATTACTTATTTTGATGTGAGGTGTGCATTTCAACCACACGTCCTTAAAAGAGGATAAAGCCAGAGGACGTATCCCGGTCATTCCACAATCTTCTGTATAACGCCTGTAAATTTCATCTTTGGTGTTAGAACATGGTAAGTAAACTTGGGGTTCTGGACCACCGCCCCCGGGCCCAGCCGGTTGTGGAATACCATTTTGAGTGGCATAGTTCTGCAAGTATTGAACAACATTAAAAACCTCATCGAACTTGAATGCGTTTGAGGCTTTTCTACCCTTGTTTCCATGAACTCGTGGGGTTACTCCGTGTGTTTGGACATGCTTTTGAAGACTTTCTAAAGTGTGTTCTTTCACATCGTATACAATCTCAAAAGCAGCTCTACAGATTTGTTGACTACGAAAAGTGTACATATATCTCACTCTTTTTCGAGAACTTTTAGGTTTTGGGCGAAATTCGAAATCATTTAATGTTGTCATTATCATGACTTCTTTTTCAGATTTTTCTAATTCTCGTATTGAGTATATGTGATCAACAATTTCCTGTGTAGAGAAATTGTTGAGACACATCTTCACACATTTGCATCCTCTTTGGATCACATCAAAAATGACATCTTCCTCAGTATCACTTAATCGTTCATCATTTTCATAAGAATTGAAAAAATGTTCTGCTCGATTTTTAATTGATAAAGGTTCATCAACTTCGGAATCGTCATCAAAGGACGTATCCTCTACAAAATTTGATTTACGCTTTCTGCCACTTACTCCAAAATGTTCGTTTATTAGTTTATCTAGCTCCTACAAAAAAAAATTCAATCACATATAAAATATTTAGAAGTGACTCTAACAAGGTTTCGTGCATTCCAAAATATGTTTGATAGAACATCCATTTATTACATTAATCATTTAATTTATTTATTATGATCAAAATATTTGTTCAAAGTACAATCCTTGCATGTTTGATATTGGGGGTGGGTATTAGAGGAAAATGGTTACTGAAGTCAAAGAGAAATATATATTTTTGTTTTCCGTTGCCCGATCCACCCTTGATTTAAAATGTATCTGCTTTTCCCTTTACCTTTACTACTGCATAAAAAGTATAGACGACTTTTTTTGTGTGGTTTGAACCGGTAAATCAATTGCAACTTTCTTTTGTTTAGAACTTACAATTTTTTATTATTATATTTTTTTTTGGTAATACCACAGGTTAAACTTTAGTTGATGTTCAAATTTTTGCGATATTAAAAGAATAAAGGCCTCAGGGTAAATTATAACAATTTTGTGAAGAATTTTATGCCTTGTTTTAATTGATTATTCATCAGATCTAATATAAACCATGTTTGTACCAGGTCCTCTATCTCTTTAGTTATTTAAATCTTAGTAGGCCTGAAACAAATGCATGTGATTTTTTTTTAAAGCCTGACATTGGGTCTTGCTTTGTTTTTGTAGTAAACTGATTATTGTATCATATTGTTTTAAACAAAATGATGAGTGTGATTTTCTTACAATTGAACGGTCATTCATTCTTGAGTTTTAAATTTACTCGGCCAAGTCATACAGGCATCTTCGATAGCCAAGGGTTTCTGATAATAGTAAAATTTTGCCTATTAATAATTGTAAATTTATCTATATTCACACAAACAATTGATAAGCATTTTGTTAACATATTATAACCGCACTAAATAAATTCTCGAATTCTCGAAAGAATTTCATTTCTGAAGAAATTTAGAGTGATGCCCCTTTGTTTACATTAGCAGCAACTTGGCAACAAAATTTATACTGATCGTTTTCATACTGTCGTAATCAAATTATTTGAATTTCATACATCCCTTTATATTCCACATTATTCAATAAGCATAGCCACAATTTTATCAATAAAGTCAATAGAAATCACTCGATTGACCAAGCCATGAACTCTGCGTAAATATATGCTTACGCAGAGCTTGTGATGAAGGTATGCAGTTAATCCTGTGCACCACTGCGGTATAATGTAATGAAAATGCAAAGTTTATATAATATTTCTACAAACTTTTAAAATATGAATACTGAATTTCTCATTTGAAGTTTTAAAAAAAAATTAATACAACACCTGCACGCATGCATGCGATCAAAAAGGTCGCATTTGCATGTACCGATAGAAAATCAACATGATAGTATAGGTCCAACAAGTTTCTCAAGTATTTTTTTTTTCTCATTCAAGATATATCTATCTTTAAATAAAAAAAATTAATCAACTTAAATAAATTTTTGCGAATATATTATGCAGATGTAAAGCTCAGTAAAAAAACTCACCTGAAATTCCTCCATAACGTGGTTATTATTGCTTGAACAAGAAAGTTAAACACATGGCAGACGAGAATACAGCGTTTACGTCCTTATGATATTTAGACGCGTTTTCTGACGTTACGTCATAATAGATATAAGGGAGGTTTTTGCTTGGCGCGTCACAAATAAAATGTAGAAGATGTACAATGGTTATATGAAATTAATCTGTGAAAATCCCATTAAATTTTATTCAGTGGTATGAGATGAGGATAAGAGATGTGTTCCTCAAAGGGTAACGAATGGACACCCTACACCCCGGCTTTTCAAGCGGGGGGTATGAAAAGAAATCCACTACATTACTTTTTTGTTTATTAAAATTGTAATAATATCAAAGAAAAAAAAATTGTTTGCAAACTCCCGACACAGGATTAAAGAAACTGAGTCTGAGTGTAGGTGGAAAATATATTTAATCAGGAATTTTTATGATCAATACATTTAAAAAAAAAATTCTAATGCAATTGGTCTGTAAAACTCGTTTTGATTGGCTTATGCATTTTGTTTGAAGCAGTAAATTAAGCAATAACGGAGAGTGAAAGCTTTTCATTGTGACGTTATTATAGAGTGATACATAACACTTGTATTCTCGTAACGTATTTCATATAACGAAACTCAAGAAAATAAAACGTAAACAACAAACAAAATGCAATGATTGCATAAGAATGGAAATAATTATCTTCTAATTTGGTATTTGTGACCGTTAATGCTGATTTAACGGTCATAAACATCCGTTTTACCGGCTCCGCATACGCGTCGCCGGTAAAACTCAGTTTGTGACCCTTAAATCAGCATTAACGGTCGCAAATACCAAATTAGAAGTCAGTTATTCCCTAAATTGAAGGTTTTCAGAGGCAGTCCACCGAAAAACCAGGCAATAGGTGGCACATTGCATATCTTGGATAATTATTTTTTGCATGTAGACTTCTTTAAGCAAATGTTTACACATAACAACATCAAAAACAAGAGGCCCATGGGCCTTATAGGTCACCTGAGCATTATGCAACAACTTTCCAGTGATTGAATTTGATTCATGTTTTAAGCCAGATGCTATGGCATTCACAATTTTGAAAGAGGCACCATTGATCATCATAACAATACACTTAGCAGTTGCTTAGTTTGTTTACTTAATACCCATACGCAGGGTAGGGGAACAAAAAAGTATGTCAACTAATCAGTAATATTCAGCAATAATCAGTAGTGCCCCTACCATACATGAACCCCTGATCCTTAGGCCTTGATATTTGATTAATACCAAGGAGCAGATTTCAAACCATTCATTCATTTTCAGTATATAAGTACAACCCCCCCCCCCCCCTGTATGGTACCCCTGACCCTGGGGCCTTGAAATTCACAATTGTGGAAGATATGGGCCCTTGTCCATCATAACTATATTGGTAGTTCATCTGCTTAATACCCTGGAGCAGAGAAGAAAATTTTCAAAGATTTAATGTATTTTCACTATATATTCAATAGAGCCCCTCCCTAACAGCAGAACCCCTGACCCTGGGGCTATAAAATTCACAATTATGGAAGAGGCACTCTTGCTCATCATAACTATGCACTTAGTTAGTTTATTTATTTCCTAGGAGCAGAGGAGAAGATTTTCAAAGAATTCATGTATTTTCACTATATAATCAATAGAGCCCCGCCCTAACACCAGAACCCCTGACCCTGGGGCCATTAAATTCATAATTTTGGTAGAGACACTCTTGCTCATCATAACTATGCACTTAGTTAGTTTATTTAATACCCAGGAGCAGAAAAGATGATTTTTAAAGAATTCATGTATTTTCACTATATAATCAATAGAGCCCAGCCCTAACAGCAGAACCCCTGACCCTGGGGCTATAAAATTCACAATTTTGGTAGAGGCGCTCTTGCTCATCATGACTATGCACTTAGTAAGTTTATTTAATACCTAGGAGCAGAGAAGAAGATTTTCAAAGAATTCATGTATTTTCACTATATAATCAATAGAGCCCCGCCCTAACACCAGAACCCCTGACCCTGGGGCCATAAAATTCACAATTTTGGTAGAGGCACTCTTGCTCATCATAACTATGTACTTAGTTAGTTTATTTAATACCCAGGAGCAGAGAAGAAGATTTTCAAAGAATTCATGTATTTTCACTATATAATCAATAGAGCCCCGCCCTAACACCAGAACCCCTGACCCTGGGGCCATAAAATTCACAATTTTGGTAGAGGCACTCTTGCTCATCATAACTATGTACTTAGTTAGTTTATTTAATACCCAGGAGCAGAGAAGAAGATTTTCAAAGAATTCATGTATTTTCACTATATAATCAATAGAGCCCCGCCCTTACACCAGAACCCCTGACCCTGGGGCCATAAAATTCACAATTTTGGTAGAGGCACTCTTGCTCATCTTAACTATGTACTTAGTTGGTTTATTTAACACCCAGGAGCAGAGAAGAAGATTTTCAAAGAAATAATGCATTTTCACTACCTACTTATTTAGCCCCGCCCTAGCACTAGAACCCCTGACCCCAGGGCCATGAATTTCACAATTTTGGTAGAGGACTCATTGCTGATTACAATCATGCAAACAGTTTGACTGCTTGATGTCCAGGAGTAAAGAAGAAGATTTTTAAAGATTGCACTAATTTTAGTGGTTTTAGCCCCACCCCACAGGCCCCAGGGGGGCAGGGATCATGAAATTCACAATTTTTGTTCCCCTTCACCCATAGATGCTTTATGCCAAATTTGGTTGAAATTGGTTCAGTGGTTGCAGAGAAGAAGCTGAAAATGTTCAAATGTTAACGCACAACGCACAACGCACGACGCACGACGACGGACGAAAACAGATAGCAATAGGTCACCTGAGTTTACTCAGGTGACCTAAAAATTTAATGGTCCTCTAGTCCTATTGTTGGTAAATGCCTAATTTTAAGTCCAAAAGGTCAACATGAGGGTAAAAAAATACTTCGTTTTTAGATTGCTTTATATGTAACATATACTCAAAAGCTGGAAGTGTATTTCAATATCATTTATAGCATAGACTCTTCTCTTTTATTTTACGATGAATAAGACTCCAAATTATATTTCTTTAGAAAAATATTATGTGGTCCAAATTTGAGTTTAGCAATTGTCTTTTTTGAATTCAGTATCCAATTTGCGATACGTTATAAAATCCAATACCTTACTATGGCAGAATTATTTCCTCATGTTATTATAAATAAAAAGTACAAACTCTTGAGTCACTTAATAAAATTGGTGGGAACTGGTATATTGGAGTATAATAAAATATTTTGTATGCTTCCTTATTACAACTGCGCTGGGTCCCCACGGGGTCTTTTTCTGTTGAAAATAGAGAAATGCTTCACATTAATGACGTCATATTTGCAGAATGGTAAACCTTCATGCCATATTCTTTCCTGATTTATCAGAGTGATTTATTTAAGGACAGACGAGACGTTCCTTGATAAAAGATAAATTTTTCTAAGAGTTTGTCATTGTAGTATTGCAACTTAAACATGTTTATTCACAAAAAATTGAGGTACCTTACCAGGCATTTCTGCAAGATACCAGGGGTAGATTTTCTTATATATTCCTTTGGGGAAGAAAAATAATTTTCCAATTTCAAATGTTTGAGTGTTTGGATTTTTTCAAAACGTTTAGAAACTGGTTTAGAAATCAGAATGTTATTAAAATTTTGAATATTTTTCATTCATAACGAAGATATACAAAACAGATTTTGAGGAACGTCTCGTCTGACCTTATCTAATATTTAAGACAGATTCAAAACTTTTTGATGTCATTACATTTTTAGGGCGCAATAAAGCTAAAACAATACCTTCTTCTTAACATCTCAACTTCGTTATATTAAATGTTGCGTAAATCTTAAATATTCACGATTCCTGGATAATAAAAAGAAAAAAAATCTCTTTACATTCCAATTACATAAGAAATGTTCATTATAAACACTTAATTATTATTTTTAGGAATATCCAAATCAGTAAATCAGTTAAAAAAGTTAGTTCTCAGACATGTATAAAAGATATAAAAAATATTATTTAACATTTAGGGTAATGCACTCTGTAGAGTAATTAAACAGAAAAAGAGAAATTATTTATTTTTAATTGTTTTTCTTTTTGCACTTTTACGCAAAAAATTCACAAAATTCTCCGGAAAACATGTAACTATTTAATTGTGACACAAAATTAGTCAGGTATATGACGTCACTGATACAGCAATGGCAACGTGGATTCAACCTAATAAAACAGCCCATTATTATCTAAGTATTATCTTTGAAGGCGTTCTATTTTGAAAATAAAGGAGTTATTTTTGTTTAATAATTTTCTGTCGTGTATCGATTCTAAATACTTCACTAGGATACCGTCTGTAGCAGATTTACTGATTCCATGGGAGATAACTCTTTTATTGGAAGATTTCATAAAAACGTATATATATTTTGCCAGAAAACTAAGTCAAAAGTGTCTTTCCGACCGATTTTATTGTTTTGATTGTAACAGATAGAAATAACGTAAGCTGTTTATTTCCAATTTTGCCAGTTAATGTTCCGCGGTCTTAAATAATTATTCCACACATTCGCACGAAACCTTACCCGATGTTTTAAATTTTATTCATACAACCCTAGATTGTTTGTGAAACCATGCTTACCTCAGGATTCTAGCAGCAGTTTCCAAGTATTTTAGAAGTCAATCTTTAGATCTGTACTAATCTTGTTTTTTGAAATATCATGCTTACTTTTGCTCTTTTGCATTATTTTTGTCACGAATGACAGAGGAAAATTTGACCGGGATACGTAAATCGCTGACTCCAGAAGAAAAATAGTATAGATAAAAATAAATTACCAAACCTGCTTAATAAACCTTAACCCCGTAAGAATTTCACATAATTTTCACGATATTTGCTTCTAAGCCCCCTTTTACGTGTCTTTGTACATGCCTTCGTGGCAAAATTTTCTTGACACAACATGATCAATTTCAAATTTATTTAAGGTACACTTATGACGTCATCAGTCCTAAATATCACGAAAGCATGTGTTCTAAAATTGACGTCATCTTACCTACTATGACGTCATAATGTATCACTGTTTTTGTCCGGTTAGAATATTCTGAATACTTCCTTATTACATCTGCGGTTCAGCTTCTTGATTCTATGTTTATCTTTATTCAAAACACTTATACAGATTGTTTGAAAAAAGAGCAAATATGCTCTTGGATGCTATGTACGAACAGGATCAGAAAAGTGCAATGGCTACTTTGGATGAAACAGTTACTGTTTTTGGGGTTAAAACGACCCCATTAACATTTGCCTATGAAAATATGATGTATGATGTGCTTGGCCATCCCTGCTCACAACATAGAATGGACCTCATTTGGCACAAGAAGGTACTTAGTTTATAACTGATAATATTTTATACATTTTCGAAAATATTTATTTCCCCCTCATATTAAACATCGTATAATAATTATATTTATAAATGTTCAATATATGCCTTTTCTTCATTTTTGTCATTTACAGGAACAAATAACATGTTTATTCAGAAGCAAACACCTAAATACACATTCAGACAACTAGGAATGACACAATATTAGTGTAACATAATATGTTTACATTACAGAAGCATCAGACTTCTATAGCATATATGCTACATCATTTTTAACAAGATATTTCCAATTTTACCTTGTCTTTCAAATAAATCATCGTAGCCCGCGTGGCACAGTGGTTAGAGCGTCTGCTATAGAGATGCGAAGTAAGGAGTCAATCCTTACGGCGCGGGTTCGAATCCCACTGCGGGACGTGGAGACCGGTCCTTCGGATGAGACCGTATAAACCGAGGCCCCGTGTCGCAGTAGGTGCTGGCACGAAAAAGATCCCTCACTGCTCAAAGGCCCTGAGTGCCGAGCATAGGACAAAATTTGTAGCCCTCCACCGGCAAGTGGTGGCGTCTCCATATGAGTGAAAAATTCTCGAGAGGGACGTTAAACAATATACAATCAATCAATCAATCAAATAAATCATCACTATATTTTTCCTCTATTTATTTCTTAGATAATTACTGAGGAACAATAATAATAACAATAATAAGTAATTATTAAAATGATGAATTTTTTCATGATGTTTGAAAGATTCTTCTTTACTTATACAAAAACACACTATTCAAACAAACGTCAATCTGTTTGGGTATGAAGTTGTTTTCTTGGAAACATTTTTATCACTTAACTTTCATTTGAGAACTGCGACTATCGCCAAAATCTGTCATACAAAGGCATCTGTCTCAAAAACACATTTCTTTCAATACTGTAGAAGCACAAATTTTCGTGGGGATAAAATTTCGTTGATTTGTCATCAAAAAATAGTTTCGTGGGCATTTAATTTCGTTGTTTTGAGAGTGACCCTATTCTATATATGGTCATATAAAATTTCGTTTGGGATTTAATTTCGTTGAAAACTGTTAACAACGAAATAAACGAAATTTCATCCCCAGCGAATATTTCTGCTTTTACAGTATTCATTCCCAAGTGCATTAAAAACTGTTTTATTTTATAACTATATTTTTACCTAGGTTGAGGGAGACGTAGTTAAAGGTCGATGTTGCCCTGCTTTGTGTTCCATTTTTGACTTATCGCCAAAAAATTTCTACTTTATTAACTATGTAAGCATTTCAACTTTGCACAATGCCCTATTTTGACAAATAAAATTGCTTCATTGTGGGGTTACAACAATGTCATTTCACAAAAATTATATATTATATGAGTGCTATCAGAGAACATTATCAAAAAACCAACAGTAAATGATCTGGGAATAAGAGAGTGATATAAGATTTTGTTATACCGTATAAGCAGAATTTTAGCGAGGGTTTAATTTTGGCATTATTAGCAAGATGCCAAGAGCGCTAAGATTGAATATCGCTAAAAATAAATTCTGCACTATTTGTAATAGGTTCTTAAGTGATCTTTTTAAGATCGCTTTCTAAAAATCTTTCTAAAATGCTAATATTAACTAAATTTTTGTTTATTGATCAAAACACATACCCCTAATTTTTTAGGCTTTTTCATCATTTGATCTGGCTTGATCTTTCTCTTCAGGTTCCTTCCTAGAAGAAAAACGGAAACAGTTAATTTGACGGAGCACTCCGATTTTCTTCGGATTGCGAGAAAAGTGATAGAACAATAATTTCATGGGCATTTTTAAACAAGTCAATCTCGACACAAATTGCACCAAAATGGTTGAAAGGAGATTTAATAGTTAAAGTCTTCAGACTCTTATACTCTACATGAACGCCGAATTCCGTCTGAAACAAAATGATTAATTATTTAAAACACATGAAGTGTAATGAAAAATAATACTTTCCACAAATTTGTACTATAGATGTCGTTGTAATAACAAAACAATTAAACAATATCTAGGAATTAAGAATTTAGTCTTTTCATGATTATTGATGAAGGAAGTGCGTAAACAGTAGGCCTATAACTAGAAACACGTCTCGCTAAAATTTTCACTTATACGGTATTAACTACTTCATCTTAAATGTAATTTGATTTTTATGAATATTTTATAGTAGCTATAATTATTTTACCTTTGAAATCCATTTTTTTTCTTGATTGAAAAATTGTTAAATTGAATGATTCATTTATGGCAAGTCGGCACTATGTAAAGAAAATTGAAATAATTATCATTAAAAAATGCATTGCACCTCATAATTAAATATTAAATAAATAAAAGGAAAAAAGTTCCAAACAGATCAGTTCATGTGACATTCGAATACTAAGTATATTCTTTCTTTAAACGAAGGTCATGTTCCTTGGTGTACTGCTATTATACACCTATTTTGTATTGGTGAGCGCCGATTATTCATACCTGATGACATACAAGGGGCTTGAACCAGTGGAGTATACTGTCTACCTTTGGGGATTGGGAGATTTCATAGAAGAGTACCGTCCACTCGTGGTTAGTAAAATCATTATTTAAAACGTTATTCTGGCTTTAATTCTTGTTCATATGTTCTTATTATGCCCCACGTGTCAAATTCCGTGGGGGACTATTGGGTATTTATTTTCTTTTTAAATTGAGTTATCTCGAAATATGCTACAGCATCAATGTACTCCGCTTAATAAAAAGAAAATGTTTTTTTTTTTCGTAGATAAAAGTATTTGTAGAAACAGTTTTGTTATATTGCATAATGTAATAACAACACAAAATGTAATAAACGTTTTTGTTACATGTATTACATTTTGAGTCGCAATCAACACATATTGTAGCAACGCAATATGTTTTTAAATACTTTTTAGAACTGTTACATATTGCGTCTATACATTTAAAAAAATCGTTTAACGTAAAATTGTACCTTTTGTTCATTACATTTTGCTTTATTTTTTTCAATGTGGGTAACGCAAAATGACATCAAATAAAAATGCTACAATAATCATATATTTTTGTGTAATGCAAAACATATATAATTTTCCTTTGTGCATAGATATAGCTTTGTTTCATAGAATTTTGATTTTTGTTTTCAAGAATTTTTTTTCGTTGCACTCTTAAACCCCAGTCACATTTCCAAAAACGACCAACGGCCGACGGGTTTTGAAGCAAAAATGGGATTCTTCGGGTGACAGTCGGCAGTTCATCGGCCGGTGTCTTGCCCGATTTTGACCTCTTTTTTTGTCGGCCGACCAATTTTGTGTCCATCGGTCCAAGTTATAATTTTTTCTGCGTCGGTGGCCGATTTCTTCAATTGAAGTTATCCGTGGACCAACCTTCGATCATCGTCCGACCATCGGCGGTCAGTTTATTAAGTCGGTCGTCCGTCGTTCGACAATAAGGGTGTCCAAATTTTCGGCCGACGGTAAAAATCAAACTGTAGCTCAGAGATCGACGATCGGGCGACGATTGGCCGACTTGTAAATATTTAACCTATTAAGGATACATAACCCAAACAAAATTTTGATGCATGGATTGATCTATATTTTTTGAACGGAAATAACACAAATAATTAATTCATAAGATATAAAGAAATGTTAAGTATTCTTTGCTGCTTTAATTGATATGCGCCATTTGTCGTTTTTATGCAATTCTATATAAAATTTTGCACACATTTTCAACATCAAGTCACGATCTTATAAAATTCTGCCACTTTTCCTTGCAAACATTATTCACGTCACCTATATGAATATAGATCTATGAAAAAAATATTGCTGATTTCTAAAGAAAACAAAAATTTGTGTTAATTATCCAAGTCATCGGTGTTCCTAGGAATTAATGTGACTGCTCCGTGTCGCCCGATACTTGTGTCGACCGATCATGTTCTTTCAGCCGACAAGACTACAAAAATTTAGTCGCCCGACCGTCGGCTTAAATGTGACCTAGGCATTACCGTTCACGGTTGCTCAGTCGGTAGAGCGCTCGCTGCGTGATCGGGAGGTTGTGAGTTCGTATCTCGCCCGCGACTGACCGTCGTTAAAATCGGTAGCAACTGTTCCTTCGCCATGCGCTCGGCACTTTAAAGTGAAAGTTGCGGGTCCTTCGGATGATACCTTAAAAACCGAGGCCCCGTGTCAGCGGCAGGCGTTGGCACGATAAAGATCCCTCACTGCTCAATGACCCTGAGTGCCAAGTAAAGGTCAAAATTTGAAGCCTTTCACCGGCATACGGTGACGTCTCCATATGAGTGAAAAATTCTCGAAAGGGACGTTAAACAATATACAATCAATCAATCAATCGTTGCACTCTTCATTCACAAAATGTGTACATCCGCTGAACATTAGACATAAGTGTTACTTAACGCAAAGATGATTTTAAGGTAGTCCGATCCTCAGGTTTATAAACTTAGCAGTGAAGTAATCAAAAATACTCATAAAAGTATCTCTGAATCCACAAAGGTATGTAATTTTATCCACAGTATTTCTTTAAAGTTAAAGATTAAAGTTAATCATATCATATAGGGAAAATTGTCAAATCTCCAATATTTTTGCAGAAAAAGCGAATTGGAATATCAACAATGCATTTTCTATTTGCAAATCGATCAACAAATGTATTTTAGGTTAAAAACGATGGGTATCCAGGCATTCAAAGAAAAAAACATGGTTTCTTATACTTATTTGGTATTTTTTGTCTTCAATTTCCGACCCGTATTCTATAATACATAGTGTAAAAGGCTTTTGCTATCATTTCAAGACACCACAAATCACTTCTCATTTTATATCATGCTAATAAACATTGGTATCTAAGGCTAAATTCAAGAAAAACGTATTTACCTAAAACTGTATTATTTTTTCTCCTTTTATAGGGTAAAAATGTCAACTTTTATAAGACCTTTTCCAAGACTTCAAAAGACCTTGAATCTTATAAGAATGAATAGCATGAAAATTGTTGCATAAAAAAATTTCCATTTTCAACCTTCATTTTGATGCATTTCAAATTAAATATTAATTCCTGGCTGAGGATCGGATATCCTTTAAAATCGATAGAATTGTAACAATGTTATGATCGGCGAAACATTCCTGTTTCCCGAATATACCAAAACACACATAAAAATCGGGCATGTCCTTTTGATTTAAAGAAAACAAGCTAATTTAGAGAATATGTGTCCCCTGCTTCAGGAAAAAGACCCGGGAGGAAGGGAATCGAAAGGATACTTTAAAAGGGCGGGAGAGGCATCGGGAGTTATGGTAAAAGACTCAATGGGGAAAAACTCAAACCATCTTGCTATATCGCCACAACGCAGCTAGGATAAGGTCGCCCATAGAAAAAATGCCTTAAATATTCCGAGAAAATCAATATAATTTTAATATTTTTTTAGCAACATGAATTTAAATTTAAATTTAATGCGAATTGAAGTAATGCATCGTTTGGTCAAAGCGACTTTACATACATCAGCTGTATGTCACGTGACATGGTTAAAATAAAAAATATGTACGGATACAAAGATCGTAAAAGTTCAACGATATACGGATAACTTTTCACCAAGAAATTGATTTGGGTTTCCTGAAGACAAATTCTTTACCCCCGAAAAGTGCTGGGAGCAACTTCCCCATGCACGAGAATTGTATAAAAACTATTATGAATTTATTCAAGCATGGCATAAGCCCACACAGGCAATAAAGTCACTAGCCCAAGTAAATGTTGGGGGAAAGAAACAACTATTGTTTAAAAAGTTAATTCTTGAAAAAAAACCCAAAACTTCTCAAGGTTTCTAGAATTCTTTTTAAAATTAAAAGTTTAATTCTCACTTGTAAAACTGAATCATATATAAATAGCAGTTATGATAGAAATTAAAAATAAATTTTAAATTATCTTTACGTTTTCTCAGTGGGTATTGCACTTAATGACCTATATATACTGCATGTGTTTACCAACAGAGGAATGGAGAAAATTCGGATTAGGAAAAAACGATCGTTTTTGGAAGTAAATAAGTCAAGTAGAACTGCAAAATGGATAAGATTATGGATATTTACGAAGTTTTTGAAAAAAGACATCAATCAACCAAGCCTGTCGTAAATTTAGCAGGGCTCGACACTCTAGACCACTTATGATTTTTTTTCAATAAAGTGTTATTATGGAGGCATAGAGTGTTTCGGCGGTTTTTAAAGAGAAATATGATTTTTTGCTCTTAAGGCCCGCCATCATCAGGAGCCCGACCTTGAGTGTTAGTCTTAAGCTATTGTAAGCGTGACTTAATTATCATTTCGCCCATGTTTTTGTGTTTATTGTAGGCGATTATTGGTTCATCGATAAATAACTCTTTGCAAATTGTGTCTGTTTGCAAAATGTTCCAGTGTTTGAGTAGACGTTTTTTTAAACCCTTGATATATGGATTGTATTTGGTAATCATAACATTTGGTTGACGCTGTTTTTCTTTCTTTTTCTTTTTTCGTGCAAGTACTTTTTAGCTCTACTGGTCAGAGACCAGGAGAGCTTATGCGATAGTAATGCGTCCGGCGTCCGTCCGTCTGTCTGTCTGTCTGTCCGTCTGTCTGTCCGTCTGTCTGTAAACAATTTTTCAAAACGCTACTCCTCCTACAATTTTAGTCTGATTTCAATATAACTTGGCACACAAGTAGACTACACTAAGATACATAGAATAGTGCATGGGTTTTTAATTTCGATGAACGGTGTTGCCATGGTTACTAAAAATAGAATTTTCTGTGAAATTCCTTTAAAACGCTACTCCTTCCACAGTTTTGGTCTGATTTCAATATACTTTGGCACACAAGTAGACTACACTAAGATACATAGAATAGTGCATCGGTTTTTGATTTCGATGAACGGTGTTGCCATGGTTACTAAAAATAGAATTTTCTGTGAAATTCCTTTAAAACGCTACTCCTTCCACAGTTTTGGTCTGATTTCAATATAACTTGGCACACTAGTAGACTACACTAAGATACATAGAATAGTGCATCAGTTTTTGATTTCGATGAACGGTGTTGCCATGGTTACTAAAAATAGAATTTTCTGTGAAATTCCTTTAAAACGCTACTCCTTCCACAGTTTTGGTCTGATTTCAATATAACTTGGCACACAAGTAGACTACACTAAGATACATAGAATAGTGCATCGGTTTTCGATTTCAATGAACGGTGTTGCCATGGTTACTAAAAATAGAATTTTCTGTCAAATTCCTTTAAATGCTACTCCTTCTACAGTTTTGGTCTGATTTCAATATAACTTGGCACACAAGTAGGCTACACTAAGATACAGAGAATAGTGCATCGGTTTTTAATTTCGATGAACGGTGTTGCCATGGTTACTATAAATAGAATTTTCTGTGAAATTCCTTAAAAACGCTACTCCTTCTACAGTTCTAGTTTGATTTCAATATAACTTGGCACACAAGTAGACTACACTAAGATACATAGAATAGTGCATCAGTTTTTAATTTCGATGAACGATGTTGCCATGGTTACTAAAAATAGAATTTTCTGTGAAATTCCTTAAAAACGCTACTTCTTCTACAGTTTTGGTCTGATTTCAATATAACGTGGCACACAAGTAGACTACACTAAGATACATAGAATAGTGCATCGGTTTTTCATTTCGATGAACGATGTTGCCATGGTTACTAAAAATAGAATTTTCTGTGAAATTCTTTAAAAACGCTACTCCTTCTACAGTTTTGGTCTGATTTCAGTATAACTTGGCACACAAGTAGACTACCCTAAGATACATAGAATAGTGCATCGGTTTCTGATTTCGATGAATGGTGTTACCATGGTTACTAAAAATAGAATTTTCTGTGAAATTCCTTAAAAACGCTACTCCTTCTACAGTTCTAGTTTAATTTCAAAATAAGTTGGCACACAAGTAGACTTCACAAAAATACATAAAATAGTGCAATGGTTTTTGAATACCAGTAGAGCTACAGTCTCGACAGAGACTTCTGGTTTCTGTTTGTTTTGCCCATTTCAGTGATAATGGGATCGATTTCCTTATCAGAGTAACCTCTCTTGATTAAGTGTGTCTTAAAGTTTGATAAAACTGTCGTCAGGATAGATGAATCACTTGTATTTCTTGCATGTCTAATGCATTCACCTTTTATAAGTCCTTTAAATACACTGTACTGAAGGACTGTGGGCGCTTTCTCTGTGTAAATACTGAAAATTATTTGTTGGTTTTACATATGATTGTATATCGGGGACATTACTCTTCTGGAATCTCAGGCCTTTTTATACTGTGGTGTCAAGAAAGTTAACACTTTCATCTGAGATGTCAAAGGTGAATTTTAAGTGATCGTGACAGGTATTGCCGATATCGAAGAATTCTAGGGTTTCCTCTTTTGTGCCGTTGAAGGCTATAAACCCGTCATCTCTATATCTACCATGATAGAGGACTTGGTTGGCGAATTTGAATTTTGACATAATATGATTTGTGATTTGATACATTCTTGTATCTGAGATTTCAGGGGATGGTATCGCACCCATACTACAGCCTATAAATTGTTTGTAGTATTTTCCATTGAATTCAAAGTAATTGTTTTCTAAGACACACTTTAATAGGAAGATAAGATCTTCAGCATCTGGATAAGGGATGTCTCTTTGTGGCTTGTTAGCGCTTTGATATGCTTCATTGACGGCAGAGAGGAGCTCGTCAAATTCCATGTTAGAGTACATACTTGTTACGTCATATGTAATCATCAGCACGTCTGCTGGAAGTTTGAGGGTTTCTATTCTGTTGATAAAATCTGTAGTGTCCTTAATATATGTTGATTGTTTTTGTACGATAGGAATGAGAAAATAATCACAGTAAGCGCCTATGTTACGTGTTGGCGTATCGCACTGTGAAATAATTGGGCGACCAGGTGGTAGCTGTCTGATGCTGCATTGGCCTTTCATGAGGGCATCTCGTACATTGTCTTTGATTTTGTGTATTTTAGGGAGAAAGTAAAGATGACCGCATTTTAATGAGGGTCTGTTATCGCTAAGAAAGCGATATGTTTCTTTATCTATTGTTCCCTTGGAGTACATTTCAGTGATTTTATTTTGTATCATTTTATGCAAGTTGTGTAAGTTGGGTTTTTCAACTGGCATGTAATGTTTGGATTGCAATTGACGCAATGCTTCTGAGATATATAAGTCTTTGTCCATAATAACAATTGTGTTGCTTTTGTCCGCTTTTTTGATAACAATATTGTTATTGTTTCTCAGAGAGTTAAGTGCTTCTCTTTCTAGTTTAGAGGTATTGTTGTGTATTTTCCTGATTGGAATAGATGATAATTCTAATTTCGTTTTGTCAATGTATTGTTCTAGAGTATTACAAGCGAGTGGGGGTTTGTGACCCGTTGGTTTTCTGAAAGGATGTATAGGGGAGTTTTCTCCCTTATCATAGTGATACTTGCATCTGAGTTTTCTGGCAAACTCGTCAAAGTCATTTAAGATAACTTTTTTGATACTTCTTTTTTGTGGAGTTGGTATGAATTTCAAGCCTTTGGAAAGTGCAGAGTATTCGTGACGATTGATTTTGTACTTGGATAAATTAAGTACATATTTCTGCGAGCGACTCTCATATGTTTTGTAAACATTTTTCATCTGCAGTAAAGAGATTTGAGATTTTCTAATTTTTTTTCCGTCTATTAAAACGTCTAGCCACTTTAATAGGGAAGAATTCAATGTTAAGAACTTTGTGGAGAGTGCAAGTCTAAAAATCCCGTCTATTAAACGACTGATCGTTGTAATAGAGGAAACAATATATGCTGCGACAGGTTGTCCTTGGACGATTTAACTCAAGCTAGGAATATCACGTGGTTCTAGATACGCCTCATTCTTATGATGAGGCTAATGAATATTGATGCCTTATTTTTGAAAGGCATACAGATAAAGAATAAAAACAATGGTATGCAAGTATAATATTATATTCTAGTCTTAAATTGACAATACAAGTAATATTGATTATTACTTTAACTTAAGTGTCAATAGTGAAAAAACAGAGTTTTTAGCACTTAGTACCTTTAAAGTGCATTAAAGTTCCAATCACTTTAAATTGTAAGCGTTATTGTCACAAATGAATCAGTATAGGGTAGACTGATTCAGAGGATTAAGATATTGTCACATTGTCTTAACACTATTAGTGTTCATACGGTTTCCTCCTGAATTGTCTGCGTCCTGTAGGTCGGCTGCGAAACGGTCTCCCGCGTCCCAGCCGGGACTGGTCCCGCGCATTTTGGCTAGTTTGAGTGACAGTAGCCAGTCTATTTCTGAAATCTTGGATTTCAGTAATCTGTTTCTGATGAATTCTGGTTATTTGTTCATCAAACTTTTGTTTTTCACTTTCAAAGTCATAAGAATTGCGTCTTATTTCCTGCAAGGCTTCATTCCTCGCGGAATTGCTGTCCAATTCCTTTGATTTTATTTCCGATTCGATGTAGTCCAAAACGGTCTGGGCCATTTGTTTGGTCTGGGTTCTTATTGTCTCCTGCCAGAATGTGTCAAATTTGTCATTGTCGTCTTTGGCGAGGAGGTTCAGGGTACAAACGAACCTGGTGTGGAACCAAGTCGGGAATTTCCCTGTCTGGATGCCATATCTGAGACTTTCTCTTCTTTTGGCCAGGACCAATCTCTGCTCCAAAATGGCTTTAATTTGTGCAACTCCTTCTGAGGATCTGGTGATGCCGCTATCATTGCTCTCTGGTAGGGCGATTGTTAGATCCAGGTCTTGGAAACTTGTCAATGCTTCCTGGTTTGATGGAATTGCGTCTGCAAACTCAATGTCAGAGTTTTGATGCATTTTCTTTGTGTCTTTTCGTAGTGAGAGTTTGTTGAATCGTTGAAACATATTAAAGTAATGAAGGCGGGAAGTTGATGCAATGCCTTATACTTTGTTTGAGGAGAAATAGATTTATTGTTGGCGATGGCAGTAAATCTGAAGCAGTCTTTGAAGTGAAATTGTTTCAGAAACAAGAGCGGATGTGACAATTTTTAGGTAGATGCTATTTTAATTGAAGTTCTGTGAGAAAGCGGATCTGAGAAACTTCCGGTGGTCTGAGGGAAGAGACCCCAATAAATCGTAACAGGCCGATCGCTGTCCAAGGGAGGCGATACACGGGATGATGTCAGTGGGACATTGTCCTTAGTAACACGATTTTGAAAAAAGACATCAATCAACCAAGCCTGTCGTAAATTTAGCAGGGCTCGACACTCTAGACCACTTATGATTTTTTTCAATAAAGTGTTATTATGGAGGCATAGAGTGTTTCGGCGGTTTTTAAAGAGAAATATGATTTTTTGCTCTTAAGGCCCGCCATCATCAGGAGCCCGACCTTGAGTGTTAGTCTTAAGCTATTGTTAGCGTGACTTAATTATCATTTCGCCCATGTTTTTGTGTTTACTGTAGGCGATTATTGGTTCATCGATAAATAACTCTTTGCAAATTGTGTCTGTTTGCAAAATGTTCCAGTGTTTGAGTAGACGTTTTTTTTAAACCCTTGATATATGGATTGTATTTGGTAATCATAACATTTGGTTGACGCTGTTTTTCTTTCATGATTTTTTCGTGCAAGTACTTTTTTCTGTTTGTTTTGCCCATTTCAGTGATAATGGGATCGATTTCCTTATCAGAGTAACCTCTCTTGATTAAGTGTGTCTTAAAGTTTGCTAAAACTGTTGTCAGGATAGATGAATCACTTGTATTTCTTGCATGTCTGATGCATTCACTTTTTATAAGTCCTTTAAATACTGAAGGACTGTGGGCGCTTTCTCTGTGTAAATACTGAAAATTATTTGTTGGTTTTACATATGATTGTATATCGGGGACATTACTCTTTTGGAATCTCAGGCCTTTGTATACTGTGGTGTCAAGAAAGTTAACACTTTCATCTGAGATTTCAAAGGTGAATTTTAAGTGATCGTGACAGGTATTGCCGATATCGAAGAATGCTAGGGTTTCCTCTTTTGTGCCATTGAAGGCTATAAACCCGTCATCTCTATATCTACCATGATAGAGGACTTGGTTGGCAAATTTGAATTTTGACATAATATGATTTGTGATTTGATACATTCTTGTATCTGAGATTTCAGGGGATGGTATCGCACCCATACTACAGCCTATAATTTGTTTGTAGTATTTTCCATTGAATTCAAAGTAATTGTTTTCTAAGACACACTTTAATAGGAAGATAAGATCTTCAGCATCTGGATAAGGGATGTCTCTTTGTGGCTTGTTAGCGCTTTGATATGCTTCATTGACGGCAGAGAGGAGCTCGTCAAATTCCATGTTAGTGTACATACTTGTTACGTCATATAATGACAAAAGACAATGACAAAGACAATGTACAAGATGCCCTCATGAAAGGCCAATGCAGCATCAGACAGCTACCACCTGGTCGCCCAATTATTTCACAGTGTGATACGCCAACACGTAACATAGGCGCTTACTGTGATTATTTTCTCATTCCTATCGTACAAAAACAATCAACATATATTAAGGACACTACAGATTTTATCAACAGAATAGAAACCCTCAAACTTCCAGCAGACGTGCTGATGATTACATATGAAGTAACAAGTATGTACACTAACATGGAATTTGATAAGCTCCTCTCTGCCGTCAATGAAGCATATCAAAGCGCTAACAAGCCACAAAGAGACATCCCTTATCCAGATGCTGAAGATCTTATCTTCCTATTAAAGTGTGTCTTAGAAAACAATTACTTTGAATTCAATGGAAAATACTACAAACAATTTATAGGCTGTAGTATGGGTGCGATACCATCCCCTGAAATCTCAGATACAAGAATGTATCAAATCACAAATCATATTATGTCAAAATTCAAATTCGCCAACCAAGTCCTCTATCATGGTAGATATAGAGATGACGGGTTTATAGCCTTCAACGGCACAAAAGAGGAAACCCTAGAATTCTTCGATATCGGCAATACCTGTCACGATCACTTAAAATTCACCTTTGAAATCTCAGATGAAAGTGTTAACTTTCTTGACACCACAGTATACAAAGGCCTGAGATTCCAAAAGAGTAATGTCCCCGATATACAATCATATGTAAAACCAACAAATAATTTTCAGTATTTACACAGAGAAAGCGCCCACAGTCCTTCAGTATTTAAAGGACTTATAAAAGGTGAATGCATCAGACATGCAAGAAATACAAGTGATTCATCTATCCTGACAACAGTTTTAGCAAACTTTAAGACACACTTAATCAAGAGAGGTTACTCTGATAAGGAAATCGATCCCATTATCACTGAAATGGGCAAAACAAACAGAAAAAAGTACTTGCACGAAAAAATCATGAAAGAAAAACAGCGTCAACCAAATGTTATGATTACCAAATACAATCCATATATCAAGGGTTTAGAAAAACGTCTACTCAAACACTGGAACATTTTGCAAACAGACACAATTTGCAAAGAGTTATTTATCGATGAACCAATAATCGCCTACAGTAAACACAAAAACATAGGCGAAATGATAATTAAGTCACGCTTACAATAGCTTAAGACTAATACTTAAGGTCGGGCTCCTGATGATGGCGGGCCTTAAGAGCAAAAAATCATATTTCTCTTTACAAACCGCCGAAACACTCTATGACTCCATAATAACACTTTATTGAAAAAAGTCATAAGTGGTCTAGAGTGTCGAGCCCTGCTAAATTTACGACAGGCTTGGTTGATTGATGTCTTTTTTCAAAATCAAAAAAATAGGAGCTTGCTGCATTGAAAATTTTCATTTATGAAGATATTGCGATAGATTAGGGTACAATAAATTGATCAGGACAAGCCCTCACCACAATCGGTCACACGGACCAGTACTGTAGCGAATTTCATCGGACATTTCGATTTTCTATCGGTTTTACCGGTAGAACCGATAGTTTTCGGAAACTCTGGAAATGATTTTTTCCCACACGCACGTACAGAATAAAAGAATTCAAAACTTTGACCTCAAAATCAATAAGGATCTCCCTTAGGCCAAGTGGTGTGTGGTATAAAATGATATTTGCAAAAGCTCAAACGATTCTACATCGCGAGGAATCGAAAGAAGTGTTAAAACGGGCAGAAATTTTGAATTTATGACCTTGACCTTTTGACCTCAAAATATATAGGGATCCTTTTTAGGCCATAGAGAGTTATGGTGTATTTCATTACCAAAGCTCGAGGGCATCTAGAGATATCGCGTTGAAACAGAAGCATTGCAGACAGACATAAATATGAGCGGACAGACAGACCAAAATTAATATTTCCTTCTTTCATGCGGAACAAAAAGCCAGAGAATCTGCGTATTATCATGAAATAGAACTTTCATTATAGCGAAGATCAGGAAACAACCAATAATAAAATCAGAATTTTATTCTCACCTTATCTGACCAAAAATTTGCATTAATGCGGAACAGTTTTCTAGCTAAAAACCCTATAAACAATAAAAAATAGGAGCAGGAGCTAAAACATCAGAGGTGGGATAAGGTGCCATGGATGAGTGAGCATCCTGCCGACCGGTCATACCCGGCGTGTTCTACTTTTCAAGATCGGGTAGATAACAGAGAGTATTCAAGATCAAAAGTCCATAAAACAATACAAAATAAAAGCAAAGCAAACGTGGACCTCCAAAGCAACAGAGGTGGTATCAGGTGCCATTACGGAGTGAGCATCCTTGCCGACCGGTAATATCCGCCGTATGCTTCTTGTCATGATCTGGAAATAACAGAAAAATCCATCGTCAATTAATGGACTAACATTTATTATGATAAACATCAGTAACATTTGATTCAATGATTTGCATCATGTATTTGCTGACAATGTCACAGTATTGACCATAGAACTTACGAAATGATGACTTAAAACGAGACTGCTGATATTCCAATTTCATCTACTTGCAATTGTTTGTCAAAGATTAACCTCGTTTTAAAAATTGTTCATACATAGAGCATAGATATCCCCGAGTACCAAAACTCCGTCACCATAAGCAGAAACAACCTGCGTTTCTCTTTAAATCATATTTTGATTTGTCTCTTGTTTGCCACATAGTAATAAATTTGAACATTGTTTTAATTACTTCCCCCCCCCCAAAAAAAAGCCAGTTACTGGGCTTATACACCACCAAATAGAACGTGTATCACGAAAGTGTCATTTCGTCCAACGTACCCTAACCCGAAGTAACTCTCTCACCTGGGTCCACTACAAAAATTTCGAATTGTATTAAATTATATTTAAAGAAAGGCATCAGCAAAATACACAAATAACGTAATTATGACGCATTTCATATATAAAAATGTCGCACTGACGTTATCTCCACGCGTAGTGCATTCGGCCTCTATACTAAAAATAACATATTTTTATCCGTAAAAAACATGGTATGTCAAATCCTTCGTATTAGACCTTCATCAAAATTATTGACAAGTGAAAATGAACATATTGACGCACGCCACTTGTCGTAGATATCGATGGAATAGTGTATAAAGGACAATGTGCTTACTGATTTCACTTTAAAATGATATTTATGCAAACAAATTCTAAGAATTGTGGTCCCCTGCTTTCGGTGTCTTTGTGGGTGAGATGTCATAATTTATGGCATATGTTGTCAAATATGAACACCCTAGCATATGTCATTTAGATTTTACCAGCGAACTTGAATCCTTTGAAAAATAAGGTCATTCGTGAAGGTCAAGGGGCAGAATTCATAGCATGCTCGTAAAAATACAGGTAATGCACATGTCAAGAAAAATGAAAATTTTTCTCAATCAAAAGTTATATAGGGACATAATGTGTTTGTGATACATTGATGCCCTCGTATGGCAACATAGTGAAGATTAAATTTTTCTCAGATGCAAATGAAATATATTGATGCCCAAAGTAGGGTCTTTTAACAAGAAATATAATTTCGCAGTAGGAAAGCCCTAGCACCATCTGTTCAAAAATTATGGCCAGGTATAAGTTTTTAAAAGGTAGGTCAAATTCCAAGATCAAAGGTCAATGTTGTTTCTTTCTTTAAAAACATCTTGTTACATGTATTACATTTGCTAAGTATGGAAGTCCTAGCCCTAACTCTTTAAAAGTTATTGCCAATGTTAAGGTTTTCGAAAAGTAGGTCAAATCATAAGGTCAAAGTCATAGGGTCAAAGTTGTTGGTATCATATGAAAGGTCTTGCTACAAGGATTACATATATGAAGTATGAAAGCCCTAGCCCTTACTGTTATTGTCATGGTTTGATTTTTTCCATTAGTATGGAAATCTCCAAGGTTAAGTTCATAAGGTCAAACTTGTTGGTATCCTATGAAAGGTCTTGTCGCAAGAATTACATATGTGAAGTATGAAAGCCTTAGCTGTTACCAATCAAAAGAAATTGTTAAGTTTAAAGTTTTTCTTTAATACGGAAATCTCCAAGGTCAAAGTTGTTGGTATCAAATAGGTCTTTTCACAAAGATTACAAATGTAAAGTTAGAAAATCTAGCCCCTATCATTCAAAAGTTATGGTCAAGTTTAAAGTTTTTCCATAAGTACAGATATCTCCAAGGTCAAGTTCATAAGGATGTTGGTTGCCAATAAAAGGTGTTGTCACAAGGATTACCTAGTACCTACCATTCAAAAGTTATGGCCAAGGTTAAAGTTTCTTCATAAGTATGGAACTCCCCAACGTCAAAGCGTCAAAGCTGTTGGTATCCTATCCAATGAGAGACCCTGCCACAAAGAATACATATGATATGAAAGTCCTATCCCTCAAAAGTTACGGTCAAAGTTAATGTTTGAGACTTCTGTGTTATTGTGGGTCAAACTCAAAGGTCAAGATTATAAGGTCAAATTTGGTAGTATAAAAGATAGGTCTTGTCCTAAGGAATATAATAAAAGATAGGTCTTGTCCTAAGGAATATACATGTAAAATAAGAGAGTTATAGCTCTATTAAACCAAAAGTTATGGCAAAGATAAAAGTTTCTGTGACGGGCGGACAGACTGACTTACAGACGAGTGAGAATTAATGTCCCATTGCTTTTGCGAAAGCGGAGTACAAAAAGTAAATTAGTTGTAAAAAATTAGGTTCACTTTTGTCTTATTTGGTCCTGTGAACTTTTAAAAAAAACTGTAACTACATATTTTTAGTTAACAATGCATTGAATATCACGTAGATATTTGGTGACTGAGTATTTATAAAAAAATGACGTAATTTTCTGGCTAGTCAATCCATTTTGACGTCACGAAATGCGTCAATTTCCTCATATTCTGAAAAAGTCTACAAAAACGGCCATTTTAAAAAGCTATTTTTCGATATTTAATACAGAGCGCAACTTCTGATCTAAAATATGCAACTATTAAACGATAGAACTGATTCTGAGGATTAAAAGACATGTTTAATTTTTTAGATCAGAGAGTGCGCTCACATTATTAGGGTGTTGCTAAAACGCGGAACGGAAAACGGAACAGAGAGCGGAATGGAACGGAAAACGGAATATATTATCTTTAGATTAAATTACTTAAAATACACAATTTTGTCAGACACAATATATTTTTAAACACATTCAATCTCGTATTATCAAAAATAAGTCGATTTAGTCATGTTCAGTCTTTTTTTTTATTGACAAACAAGTTGATGAAACAAGAATATCAGCAGTCTCGGTAAAAATCTTCATTTCGTAAGTTTGATGGTCGATACAATGACCTTGTCAGCAAATACAATTTATCATGGAGTCAAATTCTGACTAACGTTTCTCATACTAATTGTTAGTTCATAACTGAATTGACTAGGAATTTTTTCCAATATTTCCTGAGTATCACAGGGGGCGCACGGCAGGTGTGACCGGTTGGCAGGGGATGCTCACTCTTCCATCGTACCTGATCCCACCTCTAATGTTTGAATGTCCGTGTTTGCTTTGCTCCTATTTTGTATTGTTTTATGGACTTTTGATATTGAAAACCGTTCGTTATCTCAATATCATTCATTCACGAAAATTATTGACGTAGCAGTGACATAGAATTTAAGTTGAAAATTTGTGTGTGAAAAACACAAATATATTATTCGGGATGGGGAATCAGTTCTTATTCCAATATCCTTCAATACTTTTTTGTACACTTATTTACTACTTTAATTAGCAAAGTGTGGAGGTTGCTATAAACATTTCTATAGTGAAAGGTTATGTCTTGAAAAAGGGAGGGGGGCAAATATTTGATATCTAGACACACCATGCTTAAAGAGAATGAAAATGTTAAAAAAAATCCTAAGATTACGATGAGAGCAGACCTTTCTGGCACTGAGCTCGAATAAAAACCTCTTACATGTAAAGTTCA